ATGTAACAATCCCGACTCGGTGATTGCAATTTAGATCGGTAATTAACCGTCACATTCGTTACGCAGTTAGCACATCGTAAAAGTTTACATTTCATGCAGCTTCCCGATTTGAGCCGATCTACATTAGCCCAGGGATCGGAGTTCAATTACCGCGGGGAGTGACGTTTAAATCGTTGGATAGTGTGTGCCGACTCTACCGTATATATTTTGGGGATATACTTTCGTTGTAATATGCAATACTTGGTGTGATTAATCCTCCATTTAAAGTTCAGGCAAAATGCTAAACATTCTTCGAGAATTGTGGGATTAAAACGGCCATAGTTTTAACATAAAGCCATTTTCTTCCTCTCTTCTTTTAAAAAAACCAATGTAAATAAAAAGCTAGTGACTCTCCATACCCCCTCCACACGCAAAAACCTCGCCCCCCCCCCCCCCCCCCACACACACACACACATACAACCATTCTTTCTGAACCACCCTGATCTTGTGATGAACCACAATGAACCACTAAAACTCTGTGAACCCTCCTTGTGTCTCCGCCCCATGTCGGCTTCCCCCCCCCCCAATCCACTGCTTACACACCCCCTACCTATCCCAATGTCTACAACCCCCCCCCCCCCACTTATACAACACCAAGCAAGCTGTATTCAGAATCACTCATCATGAATGGCAACAGAGCTCACGTTTAAAATGTGGAACTCCCCGAGTTTATTTTTATCAGACTTCCGGTTTGTGACGTCAGGATATGGACAAGACGTGTTAGACTGTCTGTCCTGATGTTACGTCATGTCCTACCGGTCATATAAAAACCTCTGTACTTTAGCGTCACGTGTATCTGGGCATAGGGCTTGTATCGTCTACACTACTTCATCTAGACAAGAGTGAGAGAAGGAGAGAATCGCTTTAAAAACTAAGAACGAATCTCTCCAGGAACTCATGCATACTTCAACAGTTACGACAAACTCCAAAACAAAAACCTCAGTATAAATACGAAACAAAGAAAAAAAAACAATGCAGTAATTCTTAACCCGGGTTTGATCGACACGTACCCGACTCATGCGATTCACAATCGGATTTTGTCTGTGCCGGCGATAGAACTACTATGAAGGGTTTGGTGAATACGCATATGAAACTGGTAGGGTTCGGTACCTCCTAAAAGATTAAGAAACACAGCAGTATTATAATGCATGCTTTGTGAAACCTGGACAAAAAGACAACAGAAAACATCAAATACCTAGAAGAGGAAAAAAATCCTGCTGAAAATATGTGGACCAGTTCGTTTCCTCTAAGCTGCACGATTACATAGCCGCGTGGTAGTTTTTAACTTGCCTCGCGGTCATTTTGTAAAATACATGTATCCTTGTATACGTCACTTAGCACACCGTACTTACAAAACATACGTTGCACTCTGCATTTTTCCTCTTAGCGGGAACGTGGTGAACCAATTTATGAGGAAAATGGATGTAAACTTCAAACAAACCAGAATATATTTAAAATATACAAAAATATTCAATAACGGCAACAATTGTAAAAAAGCAACATTGCAATTGTTTAGTCATCAAGCAGGAATTACACATCTTAGAGGAGTGAAAGATGTTCAGTGCCAAAACACCAAAGTTGACAAAATGGCAGGTCAGGGTTCGAATGGGTAGATGATGTGAAGACAACCCTAGGCACAGATGGGTAGGTGATGTGAAGACAGCCCTAGGCACAGATGGGTAGATGATGTGAAGACAGCCCTAGGCTCAGATGGGTAGATGATGTGTAGACAGCCCTAGGCTCAGATGGGTAGGTGATGTGAAGACAGCCCTAGGCACAGATGGGTAGATGATGTGTAGACAGCCCTAGGCACAGATGGGTAGATGATGTGGGTACAGCCCTAGGCACAGATGGGTAGATGATGTGTAGACAGCCCTAGGCACAGATGGGTAGGTGATGTGAAGACAGCCCTAGGCACAGATGGGTAGATGATGTGGGTACAGCCCTAGGCACAGATGGGTAGATGATGTGGGTACAGCCCTAGGCACAGATGGGTAGATGATGTGTAGACAGCCCTAGGCTCAGATGGGTAGATGATGTGGGTACAGCCCTAGGCACAGATGGGTAGATGATGTGGGTACAGCCCTAGGCACAGATGGGTAGATGATGTGTAGACAGCCCTAGGCACAGATGGGTAGATGATGTGAAGACAGCCCTAGGCACAGATGGGTAGATGATGTGAAGACAGGTCTAGGCTCAGATGGGTAGATGATGTGCAGACGACCCTAAGCATAGATGGGTAGATGATGTGGGTACAGCCCTAGGCACAGATGGGTAGATGATGTGGGTACAGCCCTAGGCACAGATGGGTAGATGATGTGAAGACAGCCCTAGGCACAGATGGGTAGGTGATGTGTAGACAGCCCTAGGCTCAGATGGGTAGGTGATGTGAAGACAGCCCTAGGCACAGATCGGTAGAAGATGTGGGTACAGCCCTAGGCACAGATGAGTAGATGATGTGAAGACAGCCCTAGGCACAGATGGGTAGATGATGTGTAGACAGCCCTAGGCTCAGATGGGTAGAAGATGTGGGTACATCCCTAGGCACAGATGGGTAGATGATGTGGGTACAGCCCTAGGCACAGATGGGTAGATGATGTGGAGACAGCCCTAGGCACAGATGGGTAGATGATGTGGGTACAGCCCTAGGCACAGATGGGTAGATGATGTGGAGACAGCCCTAGGCACAGATGGGTAGATGATGTGTAGACAGCCCAAGGCTCAGATGGGTAGTAGATGTGGGTACAGCCCTAGGCACAGATGGGTAGATGATGTGTAGACAGCCCTAGGCACAGATGGGTAGTAGATGTGGGTACAGCCCTAGGCACAGATGGGTAGATGATGTGGAGACAGCCCTAGGCACAGATGGGTAGATGATGTGTAGACAGCCCTAGGCTCGGGTGGGTAGATGATGTGGAGATATCCCTAGGTTCAGATGGATAGATGATGTCGATACAGCCCCCCCCCCCCCCTAGACACAGATGACTAGATGATGTGGAGACAGGTCTTAGGGTCCAGAGTTGGACGCAGACGACGGACAAGACTGGGTGGAGGAAGGTGATGAAGCCGGCCAAAGCTTTTAATCAGCTGTTGAGCTTCAGGGATGGATGGATTGGTTATTTAGTGTTTCTTTTTTAAATCAGACCCACAAAAAATGGATTCAATATCATTTTTTTTTCGTTTAAGCCACGTATGGAATAGAGCAATAGCCCCCAACACCTCCCTCACACACACACTCACACACTCACAACACAGACACATGCACTGAACTCAAGCCGGATAAGTAACCTAAGTTACGTAGCTTAGGATGGTAACAAAAACCGGTAAACTATGGTAACAGCCGGCAAGATTTGTCACAGTGGCTGGCAAGTAATGGTAACATTAACCGGCAATTTTAGAATCACCATATCACAAGCCCGCCTGTTATGATGGTCTCTCCGCGCTTCCTGTTACACTAAACACGTCTCTTATTTCATAAGCAGAGAGCGCTAGGCTAGAAGACTCATTATCTCAGCGATTAATTAATGCGGCAATTAATATAATTCTACTTCCTTCATTCATCTCTAATTTCGCCTCCACCAATCATCTCCCCTTCCCCCACCTCCCAGTTAAATACGTTTTACTCGTTACACATAGCACGTTCATATCGATTTCGGTTAAATGTTAATATCCACAATATACTACATACAAAGTGAAAGTTGTGTTGAAATCCGGAATTCTCGGTTGGATCGGAAATTTCCGTATTTCATTTAAATTCGAAGTAGTGAACACCAATTGAGAAATGTGTGTTGTGTGTAAACGTCTTGTTCGTTTTTCTAAACGGTTTAGTCACATGATAGGGTATACCTGCTCAGTGTGGTACTAGCTATACAAGAAGGTGCTGTAACGATTTACAAAAATTAAAAGCCTAGGAAACGTAGTCTGCATGTGTTGTATGACGTCGTGAGAACACGTCACATGGTCGCCTCCACCCAATACATTAAGTCACGTGATCAGAGGCCATGTTTTTTATTCCTTTGCTTATAGACTATAGAGAAAACTCACATGGCCCATCAATTACGTGATGGACATACACAAAGAAGCAACATACATCGCTGATGCTTAGATGACGTACAACAATAAGCAACAAACACCAAGCAACAAACACCAAACAACATACACCAACAAGCAACATACACCAACAAGCAACATACACCAAGCAACAAACACCAAGCAACAAACACCAAGCAACAAACACCAAACAACATACACCAACAAGCAACATACACCAACAAGCAGCATACACCAAGCAACAAACACCAAGCAACAAACACCAAGCAACAAACACCAAGCAACAAACACCAAACAACATACAACAATAAGCAACATACACCAACAGGTAACATACACCAACACGTCTGATTGTGGCCATACTTTTCAGATATATTTTTGCCATAATATAATTGTTGTGCCATTTTGCTTGACTTGTCTGCTTGAGAAGAACAACAAGCGTAAGTTGATTGTCATCAATTTGGCCATTGCTTTTGTTTGTTTCAAATTATGGCTTTATCTATGATTCAGTCTGGATTTGGCCACCTTTCTTAAGTTTCGAGTAAGTTTGGCCATCTTTCTTAAATGTTGATGAAATGTGGCCACCCTCCACTATACCCAGCCCCCCGTGGTCCAGCTTTGTGCCATTGTGTTCATCCCATCCTAGTCCCCCTTCACTGGTAAAAAAAATCGATGTTGGCCATCTTCCCCACCTAATCCTGCCCATTCTCCACGATATCAACCTCGTCTCGGTCTCCCCAAACATCAGCCAACTTACCACCCCACACACTAGCCAACTGACCACCCCACAACCACCCCACAACCACCCCACAACCACCCCACAACCACCACACAACCACCCCACAACCACCCCACAACTACCCACACATTGGCCACTGGCCACACCAGACAACTGACCAGCCCCAACCAGAATGCACGTGCGGAAACCCGTGCTTTACCCAGACATTAATTACTCACCTGACCCGAGTCCTGACAATCACAGCGAGAGTGAACGTGAGCACAAAAAGGCGCTCAGCACTAAGCTAAAGTCTACGGGGCCCTCAAGTTCTGGGAGTAATTAATCCCAGCAAATACGACCGGCATGTTGGATGGAAAAATTATTCTTCTATTTTCTGTTTTTTTTAGGGGGGGGGGGGACGGAATTGCTGGTCTTTCTGTACTCCACCATTTGCTTCATTGTCTGAAGGGTCTGATAATGTCATTGTGGTCCACATTGTGGTCCTGCCCACATTGTGGTCCTGCCTACAATGTTGTCCTGTACATTACATTAGTCCTAACCTAACGCTGACACTGGTATTTAGTGGTGCTTTCCCTTTATCTTTTTTAATAGTCAAGTACTAAGACAGGTTATGTCCCTCTCACAGTTGCCAAAGTAGTCTTTGATTAAAGAGTACCCTGCACTTTGGCCACTTGTGGTCATACCTTTGGCCATCGGAATATATTGGGCCTTCTGGAGCCATCTCCTTGGCCATCGGGAACACTTTCTCTGGTCAGCATAACTTTATGTTCGGCCATCATAAATTCATGACTAGCCATCAGAAACAGAATAACGTAATGTTGTGGCCTAATTTTCGTGCAATGTGACTTTGTATTCGTTTAGTGCTACTACCCAAGTTACTGCATGGCTTCACGAGTTACTTGACCAGATGAGTTACTTGACCACACGAATTAATTGACCACATGAGTTACTTGACCACATGAGTTACTTGACCACATGAGTTACTTGACCACACGAGTTACTTGACCACACGAGTTACTTGACCACACGAGTTACTTGACCACACGAGTTACTTGACCACAAGAATTACTTGACCACATGAGTTACTTGACCACATGAGTTACTTGACCACATGAATTACTTGACCACATGAGTTACTTGACCACACGAGTTACTTGACCACACGAGTTACTTGACCACACGAGTTACTTGACCACGCGAGTTACTTGACCACAAGAATTACTTGACCACATGAGTTACTTGACCACATGAGTTACTTGACCACACGAGTTACTTGACCACACGAGTTACTTGACCACACGAGTTACTTGACCACGCGAGTTACTTGACCACAAGAATTACTTGACCACATGAGTTACTTGACCACATGAGTTACTTGACCACATGAATTACTTGACCACATGAGTTACTTGACCACACGAGTTACTTGACCACACGAGTTACTTGACCACACGAGTTACTTGACCACACGAGTTACTTGACCACACGAGTTACTTGACCACAAGAATTACTTGACCACATGAGTTACTTGACCACACGAGTTACTTGACCACATGAGTTACTTGACCACACGAGTTACTTGACCACATGAGTTACTTGACCACACGAGTTACTTTACCACACGAGTTACTTGACCACACGAGTTACTTGACCACACGAGTTACTTTACCACACGAGTTACTTTACCACATGAGTTACTCGACCACACGACTTAATTCTCGGTCAAACAACTACTAGATTCTATGAGAGAGAAAAAAAGAAATTGCATCACAGAAGGTGTGCAACCAAACTGCAACCCTTAGTCTAACATGAAGTTTTAATCCCGAAGTGGATGGTGGTGGGGGGGATGTGGTGTTATGAAAATTTTCGACTTATTTTAAATCAATATTTTTTAAACTTTTGTTTATGTGGGGTGGATTTCTAAGAACACACAAGCCTCTGCGTTACCAAATCAACCTAAATAACAAAAATCATTCTAAAACGGGGATAAGTGTTGGGAGTTATTGCCCTTGCCACGGTAGAGAACTCTACAGTATTTGACAGACTAACTCCTCGAATTCCCTGCCCTTCGCTGACGGGGGAAGCTGCAAAGGATTTCCTTTAGATCCGGGGCTTTTCTAACGGGCTGACAACACTCGTTTCCGTTCTAGACCCGAGTTGCCAGATACGCGTGCGGTCTGGGTTGCCAGTTAGGCAGCCAACCTCATTTGACAGGATTTTTGGAAGATCTGGTTCCCGATCGTCTGCCGCTGGTTGGCTTTCCGCCAGACCGCGTGGACGGGTCAAACGTCGGTCGTCTGCTCGACGTTTGTCAACTTCTCTTGCGGGGCTAGCGTGTCAAAGATTTATCGGTTTGAACAGAGGAAAATAAAAGACCATCTTAACGAGATTTCTAGTACTAGATCTACTAGCTTTCTAATCTAGATCTATCGATGGTCTAACTCCACTTTTGTTTCCCTTAACATTTCCATATCAAGCTTTAGATTAAATTTTATTGTGTATCAAAGGCGTAGCGAGGGCGGGGCGGAGGGGGGGGGGTGACACCAAGGCAAAAAGTTGCAAAATATACAGAAAAAAAATGCTTAATTAAATTTAATTATAGTTAAATAGTATATTAAGTACAAATCAACAATTATTACAAGAGGGCATGGTGATACCATGATGTAAAAGTGCTACCTATCATTTATACCCCCTACCTCCCATCATTTATACCCCCTACCTCCCATCATTTATACCCCTACCTCCCATCATTTATACCCCCTACCTCCCATCATTTATACCCCCTACCTCACGTCATGAATACCATCTACCTCCCATCATTTATACCCCTACCTCCCATCTTTTATACCCCCTACCTCCCATCCCTCCATTAGCATTAACCACTTGCCGTATCATCCCCTGTCATTCATTGATGATTTTTAAAAAGTCGACCTTGTTTTTTTTTTAACTGACACGGTATAATAGAAGAGAAAATTAGAAAGAATCCATTAGGAAGAATCTGACCGAGAGATTTTCTCCCCGTGTTTCTACCCCATGCTGTGTAGCCAGGAACGGGCTGTCTATTTTGTCCCAGCCGCCCCCGCCCCTATTTAAATGTAGATATTTTCAGAGTGCGGAAGAAATCTAGTTCGTCTCTATGTATATGTAAACAAGCGCAGTCAGTTAAAGTGCGTTTCAAGGACTGTCTCCATGGACGGCCACCAAGGACGATTGCCATGGACGGCCACCAAGGACGATTGCCATGGACGGCCACCAAGAACGGTCGCCATGGACGGCCACCAAGAACGGTCGCCCGGGACGGTCGCCCGGGACGGTCGCCCCCCCCCCCCCCCCCCTCTATATTAGCAGAATATGTAGAGACGTATTTCTGTTCTAAAGTCCCTAAACGGGCAAGGGGAGGGTTAGGGCTCAACACTTCTTTTATTCCAGGTTTCTCCCTCCCCCCCTGTTAATATATCTGTGCAAAGTTTACCCCACTCCACACAAACACACACAAACACACACAAACACAGGTGTGGGAGTTTTAAAAAAATTATCGCGTTCCTGTTTGGGCCACCCATCCCGTTTTCTCCAATTAGATCAGATTGTAATTGTCTCATTACAAATACATTCCTTCCAGCCGACCTAATTAGTTAATTAGCGATGTGCTACCTGGAATTATACACAGTCCGGTCAATGTCCAGTTTGTGTTTCATGATGACGTAACTATAGCATGCTTCTAACGCACACTCGACCTTCGTTAAGTCACGTGATCGCAGGTGTTCTCATTATGTCTAGGTTTGTTGTGGCATATTGAGGGTTATTATTTGACAACAAATGTCATCGTCATCATCGTCTCAAGACACGAGGGGGCATGAAGTAGAGTTCATCTGTTCATATTGAGCACAGAGTGGTCAGCACTATGCCCAGCCGCCTCTGCGTGAGTTAGGAACACGTCAGAGCTAGGTTGGTTCAGGAACGTCTTCTGAATTGAACCCGGATTCAAACTCGAGACTTTCAAGTGAGCAGTCTAGCTTTCTAAACCGTTCTATGACCAGTCATAAAAGTAAATACATTTGGTCACGCGCAGGTCCATAGCTGTAGGTCTCGTAGGTCACTACCGTCTTAAAGTTGAAAGGTCACCAGGGTCACGTGAAAACTATTTGAGAACCACTGATTGGGTCACCACTTCAACATGTTGATGTTGGTGTGGGGTTGTTGAGGTAGTATCAACATCACGACATTTTTTTGTTTGTTGGAGAAATATAAATTTATTGAATTTCTTTTTAAACTAGATCTATATACTTCAGTTCTACATTTGATAGGCCTTTGAAAGCCAAAGCGTCGTATTTTGTTAATTTAATTTTTAGTGGAGTTTGCGTACAGATAATGCTATGTTGAGCTTGCCTTAAATCTAGGTTAGGTGGAGTTTTGTTAGAGATTAGTCTATCTAAGTGGAATGTGCCTAAAGCTTAGCCTAGGTGGTGTGTTTAGATAGTAGGCTAGGTGGAGTTTGGTTAGTGACTAGGCTAGGTGGAGTTTGCCTCGAGACTAGGCTAGGTGGAGTTTGGTTAGTGACTAGGCTATGTGGAGTTTGCCTAGAGACTAGACTAGGTGGAGTTTGGTTAGTGACTAGGCTATGTGGAGTTTGCCTCGAGACTAGGCTAGGTGGTGTGTGTTTATTAGGCTAGGTGGAGTTTGCCTAGTGACTAGGCTAGGTGGAGTTTGCCTAGAGACTAGGCTAGGTGGAGTTTCCCTAGAGAGCTAATTGCATTGATTGAGAATCCCTGGTATGGCTTGTTAAAATACGATAATCAATAGCCTAAGTGGCCGACGGGGATAGATGATTGATTCATTAATTTGACCTAATTAGCTGTGCGAATAGGCATCATATTTTTATGCAATCAAGAACCCAAATTCTTTTTAAAGCCATAACAAAATGGCGGCTTTGTGTATATATCGATAGCTGGTTACTATGGCGTTGTGTAAATACCCTATACGATTTTTTTTACTTTATAAAAACAATGGACAAATCAGGAGCAAATAACCAGTAATACGAGAAGTTGTTTCCCTTATCACTTGTCAATAAAGCTACTGTTCTGTTTCTCGGACTTGCCATTTTTATTGTTAAAAATCGATCGGATTTGTATAATCGATCTGTTTTAGATCGATGGCAGGGGGTCGTGTAAACAAATTGTTTCCTCGCCCGCTTGTTTGCTCACGCGCATTATTTATTAAAGAAAAGTACTCACTTTCGGTGGTTGGTCGTCAGTTGCGTCACCTCATTAATCTGGAGGAGGGAGGTCACACGTCACCTCATTAATCGGTAGGAGGG